TCTGTCCGTCTGTCCGTCCCTCTCTCTGTTTGTCTGCCACTGATTTGGCCAAGTTGTGCTCTGCTCTAATATGAGCCGTTATTTTCTATTGAAATGGGGGTGCGTCTGTGCACACGGCTAGGCCCGCCGCCTATGCCATATCAATGGCCGCCGCGAGCGAGAGTTGTGTTCTCTCGCTCGCACCCACGGCGAGAGCGAAAAGGATGCACAGAGTGTTACATGTATGCAGAGAGGCCGCGGCGGAGGACAGTGGTTGGTATCGCTTCAATTGCAGTCAGTTGCTGTAGCTGCTCGCGATCCATGGCTGCCGCAGAGAGATTCGCAGTTCTGACCACTGTGCATGGTGCAGTGCTCTATTGGTCTACTGCTGTTGTGATTGTTGTAATTTCGGAGGACTCTAAATGAAATGGGTGGGAGCTTTAAGGCGGAACAGCTGGAAATTCTTTATTCGACCCATGTCTGGGGCCAATTAATATTTCATTTTTACGACTGGGCTTCTAAAAATCCACAGCTCGCCCATTCGAAGCAGAGCAAACAAGCCGAGAGCGCCGAAAGGGTCGAGAACAGGCGCGAATGGCGAATACCTTCTGCTGCTTAATAAGCCAGAGCTCATTCGAGTCTGGAGTTAAGGTGCTTCCTGCCAGCCCCAGATGAAATTCGTTGGCCTTCTAATCTAATTAGGCATCCAATCGGCCTCCAGGGGTTTCTTCAACTTCAACTACTCATGCAAATTTAGCAGCGAAATTAGTAAAATTTAATTAATTTCAAGCCAATTCGCAATTCGAGATGTTGATTAAAAACCTTGACTGATGAGCAGAGTAAGAGATACGCGAAGCAATTAGTTACATTTAAAAATTGAATGCTCTCAAGCTGATTTTCCATTTAGCATTTACTAACTACTGACTAGAATGTAATTAAATATAGTGCGTGATAGCTGAGTAACGTAGGGCTACTAGAAAAATATATACATATATATATATATATATATATATATATATATATATGTATATATGTATATAAACTGGGCACACACTTAGAGCTATATCCACTGCAGACGAAATTTCATTATTTATTCAAGAGATCATCGACATGAAAAGCTAAAGCACACCTCCTCCTGCACATGACAGCTCTGCCAAGTCGTTTCGCCAGCTACCAGAGACACAGAAACATGTGTTCATACATATGTATATATGAATATATATATTTAAATATATTTCTAAATATATGTACGTATTCTTTGCTGTTGATCCAAATTTCATCAGCATTTTGTGCTTTTCATATAAACAAGAAAACAAAAATTGATTTGATTAAATTTAAATGCCTTTGATGTGGAATTAGAAATATTTGGGAAAATAATTGAATCATAGGGTTCGGCGATATGAGGCAAGAAATCACAATAAATTCATAATAAAAGAGAGAAGATTAGAGACAATGTTAGTCATTTCGATACAGAGGTGGGAGTGCATAATTGCTTTAGGCTCTAGTAATGTAAAGTTGGGCCATAGCAGAAAGCAGTCTCATTTGTTAGTTAGACAAGCAAAGAGGCATACAATTTAAGTATTATCCGCAAAGAAAGACGGCGGAAGAGTGTTTTAATTAAAAGCAAAAGCACTGGCAAATTGCGACCACAAATTAAGCGACCAATTGAAGCGGGTGTGTAAAGAGCTTAATGAAACAACGAGCGGAAAGAACGCGCAAGTTCAAACCGCACGCAAGCCCAGGCAAGCAAATAAACGAGGTATTTATTTATGTGGTTTCTAAAGACGTCAACCACATACCTGCCACAGCACTAGCTAACTGACTTCCTGCCCCTCCGTCCGCCTATCCCCCTGCCCGCCTGACGCCTTACTGCCTTACTGCCTTCCTGCCTAGTTGAGAGCAGCTTACATAATTGACTGTCGGGATAATTTACTTCCGTGCACTTGCGTGTTTATTAAATTTCTGGGGTTGTCTACGGGCATCGATTCAGAAAACGAATACACAGCCTTCCAGTGGGGGGCTGGAGTACGATGGAGCGCCAATAGCATTGGCAATACGATAAACGGATCATCCGTTGATATTTCGTAACCATGTCGAGTTACACATATTGCTCATTAGTTGCCCCAGCTTGAGCTTGTCACTGACTTAATGAAATGAAAAGGTACAATGGCACAAAATGGCAAAATGGCGATGTCTTATCTACTTTATATAGATATGTGTATGTGTTTCACTATGACATAAGAATATGCTCGCATTGTACATCTTTATTTTATGTACTTGCATGTATAATTATGACTCAGATAACTATTTAAAATATACGTGGTATATATATGTACGCATATTTATAGTAATACAATAAACACATGCATGTATATAATAAATATTTTTACGAGAGTACATACATACATATATGTATATACATATACCATCAATCAGGATTCCCACACCATTTAGTTTGATTTAAAAAATAAAAGAAATTGAATGAGAATAGATTCCGGTTTGGCTCATTTGTTCGCTTTGGGTTGAGTGGAGGCCATTGTTCGGCTAGATTGCTCCAATTCGTACCTGGCGAACGAAGCAGGAACCTGGCCCGGCAATTTCGAGTCAGAGGCGCTGCAAGTCACGTCTGCAGCCAACCCATTTACTTAGCTAAACGATGGGGGTTGTACCTGCCGCCATCGTAACCCCACTCCTCCCTGCACCGCCCCGGCCCTTTCTAATGGCATCGGCAGGACAACAGCTTGCGCAACGCTCGCAGAGCAGCCACCCCGAACTAGAGTTTCGCACAAGTCGAGACGTGGCCGCTGCTTGATGGGAGGAGATTCGCAGTGGATAGGTGTACCCAATTGATGAAAATCTTTCAGCCAGGCTACATATGAAAACACGTTTCTGGGCTTATCGCCGGGATATGGAAATTTCGCCATTTATTTGATCAAATTTTGCCTTTTTTCATATCGAGACGGCATTTGCCCAAAAATAAATGGCAAAAGGTACAACAGCTTTGGCCCAACTATTTCATATGCCGCACACACGCATTGCCTCCGCCTCGAGGATTGTAATTTAGCAAAAATCATGTTGGCAAATAAAATGGGAAACATCTTAAGCAAGTTGTGCGCACTAAGGGATGTAGTCCGCCCGCCTCTGGTCTCGTATCTCGTGCTAGTTGCACCTGTGCCCCATTTTAAATCGAAAGTTCGTTTGCTCCCATTTATGACTACCTTCATTTCATATGTCTACTGTATATATAGTCAAATGGGGCATAGACTCACCCGTAGCAGCTGTCGTCGCACATTTTCGCTCCTTAGGAGGGCCGCGCACGAATATCCAACTGAAATACCATGGAGTTATAGTTAATTAAAATGTTTAAGCAAGCTTAAACGCTTTTGCGTTTTAATTTTATATTATTCCAATCGAAATGCCAATCAATAAATTCCCAAGAGAATATTATTATCATATAATCTGATAAGGAATCCTTAATTCATAGAATATAAGTTGATTAGTTTTTCTGCTTTTTACAGTTTGAAATTTGAGTTATTTTGGGCAGCTATATTTTGAAGATATGAGTGAAAAAAACATCATTGAAAACATAATGATGATATTCGGAAGAAGAGGTTAATAAAGCAATCGTTAAATTGTGGTCGAGGTCAATGAGTCCAAAAGTCTAAGCAAAATATTACAATATAAGAAAATAATATTGATAAAAATACTCTGCGGCTTTGTTATATATATATATATATATATATATATATATATAAATATATGTATATATATGCTTTTTCACATCAGACATGACGACTTGAGCTTAAATTTCAGCTGCATGTGAATACATAATACACAGCATTGCGGAGCACAGAAATTTACGAGGACGGGTCTTTCACATCATTACCTTACGCATGAGCATCTCATTGAATTGTGAGTGTGAAATATTTCCATAACAGGCTGTTACACAAGGGACTCAAATTGTTGTTTCCATGTGTATATAGGAGACGACGAAGAATAGTTATTCCGTCCATTCACATTCACTGACAGAAATGGCGTACACTCTCACTGCAGGAACTCTCCTAAAAGAAAAAATCGTACATGGGATGGGTTTGGAATAAGAAGATTTGAGCTATACATCAGTATATAAAGATCATATGAAATAAGGTAAACAAACACACACATATAACAAAAAGCGTATATAGAGTAGAATATGTGAAAGGATAACTTTGTATTCGTGCATACCCTTTGCAAGGATATGCATAACCTCAGAATCATCATTGAATTTAAATGTTTGTATATTTGACGCGCATGGGCGAGACCCAAGCAGATTTATGCCACAACACGCTCCTCATTATTATTTCACGCTTATCATTTTATTTCAATGTTTCGGAAGCAGGCGCCGTCTTGTGTGCGAAAGCAGGCAAAAAATACATGGAGTGCAATAAATTTATAGTTGGTCTGCGGATGGGTTAGAGGCCGGAGAGATACAAGGAAAAGTTTTTACATGGATGTGGACCAACATGGAGCAGCATCAGGGCAGGGCAGGGC